CTCTTTACACTCCATTACTATTAACACCCATTTCTTCTTTTCTTCACACCCTAAACCAAAACACTAATTTCCTAAAAACCCAAACACCTATCTTCTTACACCCATTTTTTTCTTCACTAAAAAACCTAAACCCTTTAGGGATTAGGCCCCAATCACCCATTTGATGTTAGATAGATTAGAATAATAAGAAAATCATTTTTTCTATTTTTTATTTGATTTTGTGTTTAATTTCAAAAAATGTAGGCTATGATTGGTTAATGAAAATATTTTTTGTTTTCATTTTCTATTTTTATTTTTTGAAAATAGTTTTTATCTTTTATTTTCTAAATTTTAAAAAACATGTTCGATGCACAAAATGAAAATTTGTTTTCAAAAATGAAATTTGTGAAAATGTGTTTGGTATGTTCATTTTTAAAATAAAAAATATTAAAATAATAATTAAATAATTAAGTAAATTCCATCTTTTTAAAAAATATAATTAAATAATAAAAGCTAATTGCAATTAAAATAAATAAAAAATTCAAATTAAAATCAATTCATAATGTTAATAAAAAAATATACTTTAATATTGGACAACTAACATCACTTCTTAATTGTCATAGTTTTTGAAATCTCAATTTTGCCTATAACTATTCCAAAAAAATGTAGCAATCTTTTCTCTAATTTGAGTCATTTCAGCTGTTTGTGATATATCAAATGCAATTTGCTTATTGTTTGAATTAGTAAAAGTTGCTTCTATGTTATCAAATGTCTGTATGTTTTCCCTTTCACCTTTTTCAAACAATTCATCTTTTTTTACTTCCAACCTAATGAAATTATGCATAGTAAAACATGTTTTTGGTATATGACATTGTTTTCTAAGAGGATAATTAGGCATATCCTTCAATGTGGCAACATTTTTTAGCACTCTAATATTTCGTTCAATCACATTATGAACAAAAAAATACCTCATATTAAATAATTCTTCCTTCCATCTTGGTTGGTGCAGCTTATAAAGTTTCGTGCATGATATCTTTATTTACAAAATGACTCTAAAAATCTAAGTATGTTTGGGTATCTAGCATCCATTACGTAATATTTACCTACAATATCATAAGAAATATGAAAATTACATAAACAACATTAACCAATTAAATAGTTCTAAAAAATAATTATATAAATTAAAAAGCACCAGCATTTTGCATCAAATAAAATTTGTGTAGTAAAATTACTTAGTATTGCATAAACAAAAACTCTTGTGTCATGAGCTGTGTCTTTCCATCCAGCACACACAAATGTAAAAAGCATATCATGAGAGTAAGCTACCATTACATTCTGTGACATATTTTGCTTTTTATTTCGAAATAGTACTTACTTTGATATGAGAGCCTGAGTAAATATTTCAGTGTTATCAATAGCTCTAATACAATATTTAATTAATAAAAATAAATAAATATATAAATTATGTTATTCTACATAAAAAATTTCAAAAAAATAAAAAAATAGTATTATATATAACATACCTTGAAATATATGAACCAATTACGATTTCTAACAATTTCTGGTTAAACCTCACTTTAAGTTCTAAGACAAATGATTTTAGTTCCTAATTTACAAATAGCAACCAAAGCTTTTTCAAACCATGTAGAAAAAATCTTGGCTGAATATAAAAAATGATCAACCGTAACTTGTTGTGTTCATTTTAGCCAATTATATATAAAAATATTACAACTGCTTCTTCCATAGAAACCAAAATTTCATCTTGTAAAAGATGTTCCGTTTCTAACCTATCACAAAAATTAAAAAAAAAACATATTTTCTCATATGAAACATTCCATAACCTGCCGTAGGGTTTCATCTAAAATCTCCATAACATATGCTTTTTCACTTAATATAGAAGTCCTAAATAACATCTTAAACAAGTTGGCCTTATAGTGCTCGTAGACAGAATTTATAAGTATAAATTATCCCATTTCATAATCTAAATCATACAAACTTTTTAAACTAGAGCTAATACTCATTGTAATTACTTGCAAAATAACAAATATCAATGTTTTGTTAGTGCATTATATTTGCTATAACAATTTCAGTTACTATAACAAAGTAGAAAAAATATGTATTAGTCATTCAACAACCATATATTCCATAATATAATGATAAAATATCATCACATATTCTGTACATTCCATATTTGAATGTTAGAATATTATTACATAACACAAAAATAGAAGTTAACTATTGATATGTTAAAAAAAATATAGAATTTAAGCAAGCTATCCATCTAATCTTTTCGTTTCACATTGAATATTTCAACAAAAATTTGTCTTTATTCTGTTGATGTGAAATTTTTTATTACTTTATTATAAGAACAAGAAGAAACACTTTCCATTTTTTTCAAAAGGCCCATGCATATACTTATAGAATAAAGATCAGATCTAAAATAAAAAGTGATACTTCCACTATTAGTAGATGATTTGTGTATCTCAACTTTTACTTTAACAACTTCTTCTTTTTCACTTAATGTAGCAGCCCACTTTTTCAAAAATAAATCTCTCTTATCTATTTTATTCACTTTGCTAGATTGATGCTCATCCAAAACTGAATGAACATTACGGTTTTTTACCTTACATTCTAAATTGTTGTCACCTAAATCAACTTACATAGTACCAAATACAAATTCTTCTTTCAAGCACCTTTCTTTAATGGGAGATAATGGATTTTCAGTGGATATTGTTGAAGTTTTTTGGTTGTAGTCATTATGTTGAATATTTCACCAAGCAATTCATAATCTGCACAAGCTTACTTTTTGAACTTTTTGAAATCTTTATTTTTCTATACTATAAAAAAAAGCATGAGATAAATAAATATATATTATAATCTATAAAATAAAAGGAAAATGTAAATTAATTTTACCTTAAAAAAATTTTCAAACTTGTTGTGTTGCATTAACAGTGTTGGATATCACATCCCATTTAACTTTAATATGTTCAATTAATTCAGAAAAATGATGATACTTTGTGTGTAATTGATTGAACTCACCTTTCAATCTTTCAATACCATAATATACTCTAGTTGTATCATACAACTCATTATTTATCTCTAACTATACTTCATTCTTAAATGTAGATGATTGTAACTTTCCTTCTCTTTTTCAATTAAAAGATGAATATATGCTTCCTCATTTGCTTTTGGCCAATCTTTTGCATCAACATCTTTACCCTTCTCTCCCATCTAAATACTATTTAAAATACAAGTTAATCATCAAGAAACCAATGAAATTTTGTAAAACATAAGCAACTCCAAACTTAATGAAATTAATAAAACTAAAAGAAATATATTGTAACAAATATCTAGATACTATTTATAATACAAGTAAATCATTAACAATTGCAAAATTTTATTGCATTATTGTGAAAATGGACCAATTTTTTATTGACCTTATGTTAGAATAGGTTTGTGAAGGTAATAAGATAGATCGGGTGTTCAATGAACATGCATGGGTTCATACGATTGAATCATTCAATAAACATAATGCAAAAAAAAAAAATCATAGTTTATGGGAAGAAAAGTACTTGAAAATGAAGTTGGAACTTTTAGGTCTATTTGAGAGAGAAAGAATAGTGAAAATCCCTTTAGAAAGAGAAATAAAGTCTTGCAAGCAAGTTACACTTGTAAAGGTATTATTTTGTAAACCTAATTATTTGAACCTGAGTTCCTTAGGTATTTGTCTTAAAATAAAAAAAAATTTTAAACCTTTAATTTTACAAATTCTCCATTTCCTCCAAATTGTTTTCATAAAAAATGATCAAAACAACTTTTTTTTTTGTTTTCAAATTTTGATCATTTTCATTTTCTAAAAAATATTTTTTATTTTTTCAACCAAACAAGTTTTCTAATTCATTTTCTATTTTCTATGAAAATAAAAATAAAAAACAGCTTTATTTATATAAACCATACACATACTTAGGATTTTAAGTTTAAGACTACGATTAGAGGTGGCGATTCGAACATTTTAGAAATGAATTTTCAAACTTTGTTGAAGGTTTTCATAATGGGTGTCCAAAAACTTCTTTAATGTATCAAAAATTCATTTCCAAAATCCCTAAAAAGCTTTTAGATATCTACTTTTGAAAACCTTTAAGAATTTTTAGAAGTGTATTTTCAGAATTTTTTAATGGTTTCCCAAACATTCATTTTTGGAATCGTTCAAAAACTTTTAAAAATGAATTTTCAGTACACAATAACCGTTGGCCACCAATAACGATCAAATAACTTTTCGGTACATAAGAATTTACCTCATTATATCATCAACAGACTAACAAATCCACCAATAGGGACATCAAATCTTTTGGCCACTAGGCACTGTCCGTTCAATAATGTTTGTAATTTTTTTACAATTTTGACATATATGTATATGAGAGGAACTACTAAGTATGAAAAGGCACTTGTGCAAATTAGCAGTTACACCATGTGTGATGGAGTGTAACTGCCTCATTGCATATGGTGTAGTAGCCATTTGCACAAGTGCTTTTTACAATTAGTGATGTCTTTTAAATGCACGTTTGTTAGAATGAATAAAAGTTGTGAACATTATTGAACGAATAGTGTTTAGCTGAAAGATTAAGGTTTCTCCTGTGAGATTTAAGCATCCTAAATGTCAAAGAAATCATTATAAATCCATTTGGAAGTTGTAGCAAGGGACATCCAATATTCTTGAGCGAGACATTGATAAAATGATTGTAACAAAAAAAATTAAAGTAAAAAATTAATTCCAAAAATACATATCTTAATAATTACAATGCTTTTCAAAATTGTACTTTCAAATAATTGTAATACTTTTTGAAAATAAATTTTTGATAAAATTAAAATTTTTTAAAAATAAATTTTTATGTATTAAAAAAGTTTTCGAAGATTTATTTCCAATAACTTATTAAGAAAGGGAATAAAAACACAAAAGAATAAATAATTAATAAATATTTAAATAATTTTTTTAAAAATTAATTTTTTAGAATGAATGGAGAGATTTTTGGGTGCCAATGATTACCCTGTTTTGCTTTATCATCCCTACTACAAAAGCAAGACATAGCGTGCGGCCTCTCTCTTTCAGTAGCAAACCCAAGGTTTTGCAACTGTTTTTTCAGTTTCTATCTCTCTTTTTAGGTCTTTTTGCTTTCTGGTTATTTTCAGTGTCTCTATGGCAGAAGAGAGTGGTGCCCCTGTGAGTTGTACGGATTTGCCCGTTAAGAGGCTGAGAGAAGATGAAGAAAACGGGGTTTCTGCTGCTGCTGCTGCCATGGAAACGGAAGGTGATAACAATAACACTTCCAATAACGTTAAGAAAGATGATGGAATATCCTCTGTTATTCCTGGATGGTTCTCTGAGATTAGCCCAATGTGGCCTGGTGCGTTTCTTAACTCTCTAAATTCCCATTTTTCCCCCCTTTCTTTTCTTTACATTGTTTTGAGAAACGAATGTAAAAAGGTTTCACTCCTTTTGCTTCTTTTCATTCCTCTGTAACTAAAGGGGCTTTTTTCTTGACTCTGTGTTATTTCTTTTTCTTTGCTTTTTCCCTCACTGATTTTGGGGTATGTTTTTATGTAAGCAATTGCATATATTTATTTATTTATTTATGGTTAGTGATCTATTTTAGATGATGGGTGAGTCAATTTCTGTGCTTTTATTTGGCTTCGACTGTTTTCAATGGAGGATTTCTTTTGTTTTGTTTATTTATTTATATAACATATTCGTTCCCTCTAAGGATAATACTGATTTTGAATTCATTTGTTAAAAGCCGTTTGAATATCATCAGGTTCTTCTTCGTTTATGATCTTATTCTCAAATTGGTTTTCCCCTTTCAGTTGTTTCTTAGCTGATTTTTTTAAAAAATTTTGTTCCTTTTAAAAGAGTTCTCAAATGGTTCCATATGGAGGACGGGATTTGTTTATCAATGTTAAACATGTGCCACTCGTTTGCACATCTCATATAACATGTCATTTCTGCTTGTATAGTGGGTCTATGATGAATTCTATGCTACGAAAACAACTCCATAAAAATAAATAAACAAATAAATAAATAAAAACTTCATTTTTTTAATGATAACACTAATTACTACTTAACTACCAATGAAAAATGTCCTAGCTTCACTTGGATTTCATTTCTTTTTAAAAGACCTTTACCCTTTTCTAGTAGTGACCAACTGCAGTTGCTTATGCTCAATTACTTCTGTGAAACTTGTTTTTTCTACAATTCCCTTAATACGGTGTCTTATGTACATATTTAGCTGACAACTTCGTTGAATGTTAGGAGTTTATGCTTCTTTGCATAAACTTGCTTGGTTATGTCATGCGTGATGATCTCATGGTTGATACTGCTTGAAAATTTGCTGAATCGTGGGATAATTAGGTCTAACAGAGTCAAAAACGCCATTTATTGGTCTCTCTGAACCCTGTCCTGGTTGCATAAAGTCACTTATGGATATTTTCTTAATCGCAAATGTATTGTTTGTTTAATAATGAGGTTGGATCTATATTCGTTCATAAATCTTTATGTGAATCCATTACTATCTCTCCTGAGTTTATGGATTCTTTCTCTAGTAGTTATTATGGAAGAGGTAGAGTATGAGCCCAGTCTTAGGTTTACAACTTCAGGGTCTTTTTTACTTTTTAGTGAGATTTATATGAATTTTTGTTCATAGAGTTTGATCCTGTTCCATACCTTGGGCTTTGTAAGTTTCCTTAAATTAAGATAGATGTAAGGGAGGAAATTGCATAATGTTTTATTGAAAAGATACTTCCTTTTTATTTATTAATTTAAAAGACATATCAACATCTTTCATGAACCTCTTTTATACTGAAATATGCAGGAGAGGCACATTCGTTAAAGGTAGAAAAGATTTTATTTCAAGGGAAATCTGATTACCAGAATGTTTTGGTCTTTCAGGTATTTGGTGCTCCAAGGAGAATATCAGTTTTTCTAGCTTCTTTTTTCCTTGTTTAGTTTCTTTTAGAATTATCATGTCTTGAAGTGAAATTGTTAAATATGGTACCTTTTGCAGTCATCAACATATGGGAAGGTTCTTGTTTTGGATGGCGTGATTCAGCTCACAGAGAGAGATGAATGTGCATATCAAGAAATGATCACTCACCTTCCTCTTTGCTCTATTCCAAATCCAAAGAAGGTATTTTAGCTACCATGTTACTGCAATGTTGTGTACAACTAACAACTGTAGATATCAAAGTCAGTCATCTATCTGGTTTGGATGCAATGAGTAGTTTTATAGCACATTTGTATGTGGTAATAAAATATTTGAAGTAAATATCTTGCCACATTTTAGATTCATTAAGGCTTGAAATTTTATAGTCCTCACTCGTGATATTTAACTGTTAGCAGATGCATGTGGATAGTGCAGAGAATAGTTGAAAAAAATGTTAAATTTTTCATAATTGTAGTGAAGGGACCTTATGATGATTACTGAGAACCATTGAAAAGGATTTCATTTGTTGTTTTGACTTGATTTTCAGACTATTGTGATTACTGAGATCCATTGAAAATGATTTCATTTGTTGTTTTGACTTGATTTTCAGACTATTGTATATTTTATTACTTTGTGGAGAATTGTCTTTTCCTCTTTGCTACAAAGCCTACAATAACCATCAAGTTTTAAATTGTTTTCTTTTCCTCTGACTGTTAATGAGAGTCTCCCCTACCTGAAGAACCTATTAAATAAAAGCAAACCAATAAAATTTAATGATTATGAAGTGCTAATATTTTACCAGCAGGGGAATTATTTCTATTTTATAGCTTTTTTGGTGGAAGTTGGATATATTTTACTTCTTTGCATATTCTCTTTTTTTTTTTTAATTTATTTTGTTGTAATGTGTGGCTTCTGTTGGGGGCTTGCTTCTAAGAGTACTTTACCTAAGACCAAATTATTTGACAGGCATTCTTATCATATCTGTTTTCTTCTTCAAATCCTGCTGGTATTTTTTTTTTCCACCAGGTTTTGGTTATTGGTGGTGGAGATGGTGGAGTTCTCCGGGAAGTTTCTCGTCATTCTTCTATTGAGCAGATTGACATCTGTGAAATTGATAAGATGGTAGTTGATGTGAGTAATGACATGAATCTTTCTTGCCTTTCACACAGTTTATATCATTCGTATTAAGTTGTAATTGATTGATAGGAAGACGGTAAAGTTGTTTTTAGATTCAATGTCATCCTTAACACAGGATTTTTATGCAAAATGCAAGTTTTCTATTTCAGCAATTTTTACTTGGGCTTCTATAATTTAGACCAATTGGCTAGGAATGTGCAACCATTCTTTGAGGGAGCTTTTTTCTTATAACAATATGCATTTTTGTATGTGCTAGGTTTCTAAACAATTTTTCCCTGACATTGCTGTTGGTTATGAGGATCCCCGTGTGACCCTTCATATTGGAGATGGTAAGGCAAACTATTTTTTGGTGTTTTTACATTCTATTTTATATCAATCATTAATGACCTTTTGTGTTTCAGGAGTTGCATTTTTGAAGGCTGTTCCAGAAGGTACTTATGATGCAATTATAGTGGATTCTTCTGACCCAATAGGTAATGCTATTTTTGGAAATTTTGTATTATTTTCTTTGTTCTGAATGGTTTAGGATCTTTAAACATTTGAGTCATTGTTTGCCATCTCAGGTCCTGCACAAGAGCTCTTTGAGAAGCCCTTTTTTGAGTCAGTGGCAAGGGCTCTTTGTCCAGGTGGAGTGGTCTGTACCCAGGCAGAAAGTATCTGGCTACATATGCACATAATTGAGGATGTTGTAGCAAACTGCCGCCAAATCTTCAAAGGCTCTGTTAACTATGCATGGACTACAGTTCCTACATACCCAAGGCATATACTACTAATGACCTTTCCTTCATCATATGACCAACTGCTTTCTTTTCTGATGGTTCCACCATCCCCCTATATGTTCTCCCTATGTGTTGATTTATGCTGTTAATGCCCTCAAATTCAATGGATGGCTTTCCTCCTTTGAATTGCGATATATCTTATGCACCTGCATCATCATGTGGTGCATTGAATTGTGTTTGCATAACTTGTTTAGTGTTATACATGTTGCCCAAGCTTCTTATCATAGAGCATTTTATTTTATTTTTTACAGTGGTATGATTGGTTTCATGCTTTGCTCAACTGAGGGACCACCTGTTGACTTCAAGCATCCTGTGAATCCTATAGACACTGATGATGGCTGCTGCAAATCAAAACGACCCCTAAGGTTTTACAACTCTGAGGTGTGACTCTGCTCTACTCTAAATTCTTTATTATTATGTGAGAAAGTAATTTGTGATTCACATTTTAAAATTTTAACCACCCCCTTTTCCCTCTTATGTTAAGGCTTCGTAACTTATGATTCACTTGTTTGAAACCCTTATCATTTTTATTGTTCTTGATTTCAGATTCATTCAGCTGCTTTCTGTTTACCATCCTTTGCAAAGAAGGTGATTGATTCAAAACCTCAAGTATGAAAATTTTGAAGATCTTTTGCAGTGTTCTTGTTGTTTTGGAACATTAATTTTCATCCTTGCTAGATGATCTGGTGTGGTGATGAACCTGGGATTTGGAAGTTTAATTAATGCTCTTTTTGTGTATCTTGGGAAGAGAAATTTTCTCTGATTTATACGGTTACTTTAGCGTGGATGTAATATTGTCATTTCATATGCTAAACCACCTTCAGAAATTTGTGTCCCATTCCTGCGGAATTCCGAGTACCAAGAGAGACTATTGTTTAGAATCTCCAGTATTGATGTCCATAAATCCTGCTGATCCAAGGAGCGGCTTCTGGTCTCATTTGCATTTTGGGTCAAATATATTGATCGTGCTCTGTATTACTTCTATGGTAGTAATATATTTGTGTTTAGGCACAATTTAACCAAGTTTGTTCCGTTACAACCTACTTGAATTCTAGGACTATTGGATCCCTTCCCCCCCCCCCCCCCTCTTGTTTTTTTTTGCATCCCCAACAAAAATAAAAAAAAAACAAAATAGTAACTTTTGAACGAGGCATGCTGATTGTAGTAGTAAAGAATCCGAAATTTGATTTAATTGGTTTATACATTCATATATAAGAGGTGTCAACCAGCACAGCTGGAGTTAAAATTTTAATATACTATTCTATTCATAGATTGCAGCCTCTCTGTAAAAAAAAACTTGTTCGTATACAGCTTTGACAGGTTTCCCTGCTTCCTCATCAACCCTCTACGCAGTTCGTTCTTTGCAATGATTGAAATAGATCACGCAAACCACCCACTTCATCACATTCTCCATGCTAATCAAGCTAGCCTGGAAAACAGTTCTCCAGCCTTTCACATTGCATCCGCTGTAGACGCATGCTAACCTTAAATCGACACCCCACATGAAGAAAACCAGCATCAACAGCAACCCTTGTCTCTTACTGCCTCTACAAAAATAAGCCGAGTCCTAGAGCAGCAGCCCCATGTACCTCCTCTAACATTGAATTCACAATATTCGTGTTCCAGATAGCTGTCCAAGTATTTCACTCGCAGAGTTATACCAGCCACTCTGAGAAGTGCTGCAGTGAGCACATTATAGAAAAAGTCAATCACAACAGTATAGTAGTTTGCCACTAACCAGGTTGATACGAAGTAGACGTACGCAGATGTGACAAGGATGCCTTTACACTTTGCTTTGTCTCCTTGGGAGTAACTGTTCTCTTCTATTTATGTTTTTCCTGTCAAATCAACGGTAACCACCGCGGCGAAGAGCTCAAATAGATGGAGAGGAAGCAGATGGAGAAGACCCAATTGAATCAGTTTATAAAAGAAATCATTTGCCATTCTTCTGTCATTGACTGGTATCAGCCAATGATTGAAATAAGCTTGGGGTTGTCTTAGTATTTCCATGGCTGCAGTAAGTGTTCTTTGGAGGATCATTTCATGGAAAACCAAGAAGCATGCAAGGGAATAGAGGCCAGAAGAGGAAGTACGATGAAGTTGGTAGTTTTCCAAGGGATATAACTTTAACCTATTATTTAAAAAGATTACTAAGAATTGGATATTGCAAATGCAAGCTGTTAAAAATTTGAGAAGCAATACTTTTATACATTGAAAGATTGCTCTTTATGTTTTCCAAATATGCTCAAGAGGTGTATGATGATTTGCTGCTTAGGAATGTACAGCCTATTTTGGGTTATGCTGTCTTGGAGCGACTTGTTTTTGGGTTTTATGCTTATTTTTCGGGGATGTTGTAACGGTACTTTGTTATTCAATAAAGATGACTTTTTTGGCTTTCCAAAAAATATTTTTTGAGAAGCAATCTCGTAAATTAACAAATACAAGGGCATTTACTTCATCGTTTGTAGATAAGCCAAAAGACCATAACGTTATGCTGAAAATTTAAAGAGTTCCTTCCCGTTTATGCATTGATAGATAATAGATTCTATTTCATTTAACTTATATAATTGATTATTCAGTTTCTCTTCTCACCTCTGGCTATGATCAGCGCTTTCATATTCTCCATGCCGATCAGATTATGCAAAATAATAGCAAACATGAACTCGAGGTTTACTCTAGTTGGTTCATTCAATTTATTTTCATGCAATCATCTTAGCATTAAGTAGGTTTGACATTCAAATAACTTGCAATTCATTCCTTTGTCTCCAAGCTATGAACATACTCATGAGTCTCCTTTGCCAAACACAAAATATTGAAAATGGTGACTCAAATCTCATAAGAGATTTGTTTAAGATTTGTTATATATTATTTAATGGATGAAAAACTTACAGAAGAGAAATTCTAATAAGAAAATGATTTTTGATAGACAAGTTAGTACACTTATAAATAGATAGAGTCTTTATAAGATTAAATATAAGAAAAATATGTAAAAAAATTATAAAGTTTTATTAGATAGATACCTCATAAAATTATAAGAGATTAACGTCTTTATGGGTGTATATGTTTGAGTACATTAGAGAAGCACATAAATATGTTACATGGATACACATGAATATATGTTTGTTTGGGTTGAGAATACTTCATAGAACTAGAGGAGAATGAAATGATCTATAAGTATTAATAATGAATGAGATTGATTTGATGTAGGTTTGTAATTCTCTACAATTAATGAATTTTTTCTCATAAATAGACATATGTCAATTGGATTAAACTACGTTAAATTGCTTTCTCGGGTGTTTAATTGATGATTTGATTTGCTTCTGCTAACATGAATATTAAATTGATTGGGGCTTTTTGGCCTAACACAAAGCAGCCTCAAACTCAGTTTCAATCAAATTAGGAATAATGTCCTATATAGCCCTTCAACTATTATATTTGTTTTAATGTGATACCTAAACTAAAAAAATTTCTAATTAGATAACTAAACTCTTGATTTGTGTATCAATATAATTTAGGACTTAACTCCATTAGTAGACTAGCTTATTTGGCCATTTTAGCCAATAAAAATTTGACATCTGGTCACAAAATGACATCTCATTTTAGGTAGTTGCTTATATATCATGCTTATGTGGCCAAGTATAAAACATAAAGGTTTTTTTTTTTTTTTCCAATTCATTTCTTTCCTCCCTTAAAAAAACAAGTAGACTGTCACCTCTCCATTAACCTAGATTCCAACAACTAACAACCTATTAGATTGCCGCTCACCACTGTCAACCACCGCTTGTCGATGTTGATTTGGTCTTCGATTTCACCCGAACAAAGCTCTCCTCCTTTTCTTTCCATTTCTCAACTTGGTTTTCTCCCAAAATGTTTCAAAGCTCCTAAATCTAAAGTTGTCACCAATTGGATCTCTTTTTTTTGTATTTCCTTGATCCTCCTTCCCTCCAAAAAATAAGACCCAAAGCCCACTCAAAATTTCTCCAAATTGAAACTCTTTCCTTTTTGTGCATTTGCTCAGGTAAATTTTTTTTTTTGATTGATGTGATACCTCGAGGATGTCGGCTAGCTGATATTGATGGGAATGGTGGCTTAAGAGTTGCGATAGGATATGATGATGTTGATTAAGTAGTGATTTCGATGAGTTATTGAGTTAGTGATAACAACGATAAGATGGGGTTGATGATGGTAATTTTTTGGCGCAGTGGTTTGGGTGTAGACAAATTAAGGTTTTAATAGAGTTTTTTTTGTTGTAAAAATTACCCCTATGTTTGGTTTAGGTAATTTACAAGTAAAAATTCTTTAAAAAAAAATAAAAAAAATTTACCTCATGTAAAAATCCAGTTTGGGATTTAGAGTTTAGGCATTGAATTTGAAATTTATAATTTAAGGGGAAATTAATTTTTGTTTACTTATTCAAAATTTTTTTAGAATATATGACCACGTAAGCATAACATGTAAGCATGATATGTCATTTTATGTCTAGATGACGGATTTTTATTGGCTAAAACAACTAAGTCAACAACTTAATTGTTAAATTTTGGACCAAATTGATATATGATTTTAGAGTTTAGGTATCTATATAGTAATTTTTTTAATTTAGGTACAAAATCTAACAAACTACAATAATTTAGGGGCCATATAAGACATTATCCCATTAAATTATTATGAAGCGATAAAGCATGTTTTCTAGTGGAAATTGGAATTTACAATGCTAGTTTATAAGTAGTAAATATAGCATATCATTTATTAATGATAATGCTTTAAATTCATATTTTCATATTACGTGGCACTGTTATTGAGTCTTTTGACAGGGTACAATTGTTTTGCTTTCATAATCGCTTTAAACTTAAAGCAGTCAGGTTTTCTTCACACATTGCTTGTTTGTCAACTGCTCATCCTTTCCTCCTCTTTCCTCATCAACTTTCTTTTCTAAAATTCGCACCTTACAGTCATAGAAATATACCATGCAAGCTATCCACTTTATCACATTACACACACAGAACAAGCTAATTTGTGCTATAATTCCATTCCCTCCTTCAAAGCATATGGCATAGAGGCATGGCAAACGTAAACCATTTCCCCAAACAAAGAAAACAAGCATCAACAGAAGTCCTCGGCGTTCGCTGCCTCTTATAAAATATGCAGAGAATGCCAATGCTTCATGCCCATATAAACCCTCCATGATTGAAATTACAATACTCATGTTCCACATAGCAGTCCATTCCAAGTACTTTATCAGCAACACAATAAAAGCTGCTCCATAAAATATGTCAAAGAATACATCGAAAACGAAGTTCCCCAAATCCACATAGTAGTTTGTTACTAACCATATTAACCCCAGCAGAGTGCATGTTGACAACAAAAGAACATAGAGTGATGTGATAAAAGTGCCTGTCAACCTTGTTTTCTGAATTGGTTTCTGTATCATTTCTTTGAAAGTCAATGATTTCTCTTTGGCATATATCTTAGATGCTAAGTCAACTGTCACAAGTACAGAGCAGAGCTCAAGGACATGAAGAGGCAGCAAATAAAGAAGGGTCAACTGAATCAGCCTATGGGAAAATTCCCAATTCAGTTTTTTGTAATGAAATGGTATAGGCCAATTGTAGTTTATGTAACCCGGGGGTGTTCTGAGGATCTGTGAGGTTTCCAAAAGAGTTGTTTGGAGCAAAATTTCATAGTATACCAAGAAGCAAAACAAAGGAAGAGAGGTGATTACCTCGAAGAAGATGAAGTTGATGTTCTTGCAGGGGATAAGTATAGCTTCTTTAAGGATTTCAAACATCTCCAGCTTCTTCTTTGGCATAATATGGTGGTTTTCTATCTTCATAGCTGCAACCTCCAAATTCAATCCTAACATATGACCAAATGGTTCTTTGTTGGGTATATTGTACATTGGTAGGGTGAACCGTGGACTTGACTTGAGACTTCCATTTTGTTTTGTTTAATTTCTTGTTTTTTGAGCCATACAATTAAACTTGCGTTTAGATGCAGTAATCCTTCGTGCCATTATTTGGTTGATCTTGACTTTGAATAGTTTTTTTAATTATGTGGGTTTTTATTTATTTAATTTTATTAAAATATAAATTTAAAAATTTGTAATTTTTGAAATTATAAATATATATATATAGATTTTAGATAAAAATTTTTAATAAATTTTTTTGTATAAGTTAGATAAAAAAAAATTAAAATTAAAATTAAATATTAAAATTTAATTTTATTATTTATTAATTTATGATTTTGTATTTGAAATTTAATAATTTTTTTGTTATTTTTGTATTTATATTGTTGTAAATTCTTTTGTTATTAGATTAATTCTTATTAATTTATAATTATAGTTGATGAAATTTGAAATTATTATATTTTTAAGTTTATAATTTTATTAAATATAAATGTTTGGTATTTAACGTATTATGTTTAGTTAATATTTTGATTTGTCTAAAATTATTTTTAAATATGAACTTGGCTTAGGTAAAATTTTGTTGTTAAATCAAATAAAAATGTTTTATTATAATCTAAATAAAATTATGAATAATTTTTTTAGAAAATAAAAAACATAAATGTCATAAACTGATTTAAAAAAGACATTAAACAAAAATTTTATAATTATAATTATTATATTTTATAACAAATTGTGTAAAATTAAAAAAAATTCACGACCGCGATGATCGTGATAACCGTAATAATTTCCGTTATATCCGAAAATGCGATAAACACAATACGATCGAAAACGTAATCGCGATCGCTATTTAAATCCCTGATACCTGCTTCATCACATTTGCAATAGAAAGCAAACTAGCCTACACAACCACTCCATCGTTCATAAGATCCATCACAGTCATGGATGGAGTCGTTAAACCAAGCACTTCAACAAGAAAAAACAAGCATCAATGTACATCCAGGTCGCTCATGTCCTCAGCTGGGATACAAGTAAAGGTTGCAAATGCTTTAGGCTTTTAGCTCTGATCTATTAATTAAAATTACAATACTCTAGTCAAAGGGAAAGAGGAGGGGTAAAGTGAGTGGCAAATTCTAACAACATTCTTACCAGGGTATCAATTAAATTCCTGGCTATTTCTCTTGTTGTAAAGTTGGTTGGATAAATTTTTTACTTGAGAGCTATTTTCAACTAGGATTCTCCAGCTAGCATAGCAGAGAGTGGGAGGATGAAAAACACTAAATTCAAAGGGAAATGCTACAAGACTATAACAACAGAAATTATAATGGTAATATGGTAGACCAGGCCAAAGATCTGGCTTCCCATGGTTTTGGATGCTAATTGTTCAAGTGCCACTTTGCCACTGGAACACTGCAAGCATTTCCCAAAAATAGAATGCTGCAACCAGACATACACCATGATTTTGAAAATGTCATCAGTTTTAGATAATACTTAAATGAAAGAGGGAAATTAAGACATTTGACTGAAACTTTGGCTACTCTTTATGGCTGTCCTTTGGTTTCTTCATCTTACTCCTAGTGCTTACATAAAGCAATAAGAGCTTAAACATTGACAACTCTAACATATCTTCCTACTTCCTCATCAACTTTCTTCTCTAAAATCCGCTTCTTGCAGTCAAAGAAATAGACCACGCTAACCACCCACTTCATCAAATTCCCAATACAAATCAAGCCGGTGCATACAGAGCTGAACAAAATGCCTCCAAGTCTCTCACTGTACCTCTCAAAGAAGCAGGGCAGCCTGAAGACAATTTCCCATACAACAAAAACAAGCATCAAAAGAAGTCCGCGCTGCGTACTACCCCTACTAAAATAAGCTGAGAGTTCAAATGCTTCAATCCCATATGTCTCCTCCAATACCGAGATCACTAGAGCCATGTTCCACCCAGCACTCCACTCTGCGTACTTCACTAACAATGCTATAAACACAGCAACATGGAAGATGGTTATCGATGAATTGACAAAGTAGTTATTCGGACCGTAGTAATAGTAGTTTAGTACGGAGCCCTTTGTCAGAATATAGCAGTTGGTTACAACCCCAACTAATCCAAGTAGAATACAAGTTGACAAGAGAAGAACATATATTGATGTAATGAAGGGACCTTTTAACCTTGTTTTTTTCACTGTCATGTTTCTGAGGCTGATTGGTTTCTCTCCTGCATATATGATGGATACTGCATTAACAGTCATAACTATGTTGAGGAGCCCTAGAAGATGACAAGGGACCAGGTAAAGAAGACAGAGTTTAATCCATCTATGCCAATCAACACGGAGGGTAATTGATGAGCGCAAGTCATAATCTAAGTAATCTAAAGTCGGTGCAAAGAAATTGAAGTTGAAGATATAAAGCAATGTTTCCTGGAGGACAATCTCAAAGAAAACTGAAAGAAAGAAGTAAGGAAGGGAGGTGAAAAGGCTGAAGATGACGAAGTTGAAATGTTGATGGGGAATTGTAAGAGCTTCTTTGAGTATGTCGAGGAATTCAAGCTTCTCCTTCAACATAATTTGAGTGTCATCTGTATCCATGTTTCTCAATTCTATACATTCATAACCTATCTTGAACCATACGTTATTAAGCAGGATCAAAGTCTTCTCTATTTTGGTCTTCTGCAGAAGACTAAGACCTTTCTGGGAGACCCCAAGAGCACGCTTATACACAGTTATCGACACATCCAGACCCAGACATTGAAGCAAGTGGTTGGCCAGTGTTGTTGACTTTGGTGTTCTCATAATGAACCAACCACCCTAAGAAAAATATTCCCACTATGAAGCAATGTTTTGGATTCAAAATTTTGGAAGATCTGAATTGTAAATGTTGTATTGATGATTTAATAGTTAATATAGTTTTATCAGGTCATCATCACAATTACCAAAACGAACGAACGAAAGAAACAAAACAACCAAGATTATTGTTCTCAACACTTGCACAAAAAAAAAAAAATTGAATGTTAATTGATTTGGTCAAGGATATTGACATTGACTCATCTAAACTCACCAAGCTATATTGCTATATTTTAATGATTCTTGGAGGAAATTTCAAGGAAGAATCATGTTACAGCTTTGTTATTTAAACAATAATTTACTAATAATAGGATTAAGTCTTTAAAAATTAGTTGACGTCAGAATTCTTAGTTAAATTATTAGGTAATGTAACTGTTGGGATAAGTCACAGAATTAATCTGTAATGTAAGGACAGCCAAGCAACATTGAGAAATTTCATAACAAATTTTTCTTCTCTCTACGGTTACAGCTTCTTTCTCTCTCTCTACTCTACTTTCTTCTTCTTGAAAAACTGTTTCCGTCGCGATTCTTTTTGACTTGCATCAAATCACTTGGAAGGAGCTTCGGTATTTATTTACACAATTTACATCTTTTCAAATGTGGAAGTAAATTCAAATTTTCTTTTTAAATTGAAAATTAAAAATAGAAGAAAGTATTTCGGATATTTAAATTCAAAAGTTATTAGGTGCCTAAAAAATGGAAATAAACCTAAAATTCTCAAAAAAAAAAAGTTTTTTGTAAATTTCATTAATTATCAAATAAAATAAGTTAGTCATTGCCTTATTCGTAAAACAAATTTCCTTCTAATTATAAAAAAAAAAAAAAAAGTTTCCTTCCTTTCATTTTTAGTTCTCAGTAAACATTCTAAGTTATAAATTTTACTAATGTACCGAATTCCCTTCCCCTTCTCTTTCCTGTGCTACGTGGGGCACCATAATTCTCTTTGTTTTTAGCTTTTCTTTAAATATTTTTAAAAAACTTATAAATATAAATTTTAGATAAGATTCAATTTACCAAGTTTTTTTTCTTTTTTTTTCTTTTACAATTTTGTTTTTTTTAAAATCCATTCATTAGATAATTTTTTTTTTTTTGTATAGAGTTTTAATTCGGGTGTTAAGTGGCACTTCTATTTTTTTAATATTCTTTTAAAAATTTTTTAAAATTTAAAAAACTTTTTACTTTTTCCAATTTTTTATATTTAATAATATTTTCTCATTTAATTTTTTTAAAAATAGGACCTACTTTATGCCAAATTTTTTTCTTTTACTTTTTATTTTTTGTCATTTGTTGTAAATATTTTTTGAAGATTTTAAAATTTTTTATAAGACTTATTTGATATTAAAAGTATATTATGTATTTTCCTTTTTTTTTTTTTAACTTTTTTCATTTTGTTCTATTATTTTTCATTTTTATATATTTAATAAATATTTTAAAGAATTAAATTTTTTTTGTGTGACTCACTTTATACCTAATGTATATCACGTCAAGTCATTTTTTTTCTTATTTATTTTTTTTAATATTTGATGAATATTTTTTAATATTATAAATTTTTTTTGTGATTTCCATTTGATATTATTTATTAAAAATATTATTTTATTTTTTTATTTTTTATTATCTATTTAATTTTATATTTATATATGTAATATATTAATTAAATTATTATTTTATAGCTTAATTTTAGATATTAACATTTTAAACTCATTTTAGATATTCATAAAACAGTTTGATGATCTTTCTTTTCCTTTTTCTTTGTTTATTTTTTCTTTTTCTCTTAATTGTTTTTTATTTTTAATTAAAAAGTTATTATTTAATATTTTAATTTAATATATTAACATTTTAAACTCAATTGAAATGTTATGTTATGTCTTGATAAGCTCTATTTTTCTTTTTTTTTTTTCATTTTTTATATGTTTTTCTTTTGTTTTTATAGTTTTTTTTTACATTAAATTAATTTGTGAAAAAAAAAAATAAGGCCAATGAAAATTTCCACGTGGCAACCTAATTGGCTTTTTATATTTTATATTTTATATTTTTTAATTAGATAATTTTATATCAAAATATATCAATTAATAAAACTACAAAAACAATTTGTATTCAATGAGTTTCAATTAATTTTGATATGATAATAGGTAATTTTTTCAAATCAAAATTGAATTGGGATGAGATTGAGATTGAGATTTTTTTAAAAAAAAAACAAAATTGGGACAGAAGCATATTTAGCGTACTTTATCCCAATATATTTTTCAAGATATATAAAAGTATATATGTATTTTATTATTAATTTTATTATCTATATTATATTAATAAGGTTATTGTTTCATTATTTGACATTTTACTTTCAAAAATTAATATTTTAATTTCAATGGAAAAATCTTTATAAGCTTATTTTATTTTATTTTTATTTTTGTTTTTGTTTTTGTTTTTTGCTTTTTATTTATTTTTTATTTTTTGTTTGTATTTATTATTTATTTTTTAATTAAATAAATTTTATAAAAAAATAAAACCAATTAAAATATTTATCCCATTTGACTTTTTTGATCTTTGATCTTTTATTTTTTTAATTAAATAAAGTTTATGATAAAAAAATTAATAAATAAAAATAACAAAACAAAATTACGGACGACATCATGCAAATATTACGCTAGTTAAACTTGAATTTACTAATTTGATAAGACGAGTGATTCCATTCCATTCCATTCCGAACTTGAAATGATAGCTAATCACAATAACCATTTATCAATCTTTCAGCTGCAATGGCCAAACTCGAAAATAGCCACTAGCGCTGCGATTAACCCACAAACTTTAAGCCCACCCAAGATATATAGATTACGTAAAAACACACAACTTCAGACCCTGATTTTTTTAATCAGCTTATTTTTAGCAGTTACAACTCCTTTTCCAACATCTGCTTCTTCCAAATCAAAGAAATATACAGCACAAACTACCCATTAAGTCATCCCATTTCCAAATTCCAATATAAATCAAGCAAGTACATAGGGAAGTGAACGAAAAAACGTCTCCAACTCTGCATCCCTAAAATACGGAGGCCAACCTGACGATAAGTCCCCCACACATAGAAAACAAGCACCAAAAAGAGTCCTTGCTTCTCCCACATTTCTCCACCAGCATTGACATTACTAGTCTAGAGCCATGTTCCATCCAGTGCTCCACCCCAAATATGGTTACCCCAATATTCTAAATATTCATTCGTTTCAAAGCTCTTTACCACCATAACAAGTTTATTACAAATCCCACCAAGCCGAGTGGAATCGTATCTGACAATAGAACTTTATGCATCGGCCCAATAAAAACTCAATGAAAAAGAACATTCTGCTCAAATTTGGACAATTGCGCGTCCAAATTCTTGAATATTATATATGATAAAATACTTGGTTATTAACTTCCATTCACCGGGTGATATGAAACCACCATTAAAAGCTATTCTGAACTACAACTGCAAGTGTAATATTTATCTACAATCTCGATTAGTATGGCACAGAAAAATCAAAATTACAAGATTGGAATGGGCCAAACTGGCATGTGAAACCATTTAGCATTAGCCATACCAACGTATAAAAATTTCTGTGGAATACAGCGCCCAAACGGACAAGCAAATATACAAGAAACCTTCACACGACAACACCACCACCTCCCCCCCCCAAAAAATGTAAAGGAAGGAAAAACAAGGAAAGACACAGAAGAAGGCAGGACAGTTACTTCCAAACCACTTACCTTCAGACCTTTGCAGATAATCATCACTTAGATGATTATCAATTAAGTTGGTGCAGGTTGTAGCAGCTTCCACGCTGAATGCAACCTTCAGAAACATGGTGACACAATGCAGACAGAAAAGGTGCCATACCATCAATTCCAAATATGGCTCCAAGCAGATGTATGAACATCTTACCCATCATCAACAAAAGTACTAGAAAAGACCAAGACAAAGTAGTATTGACCCCTTCCAAAATCAGCTACCACGGAAACAAAGGTCAAAGCTAGATAGAACTCTTCGTTGCAGAAAAGCATGTGCTAAGAAGGGGTCTTGTTCAACTCAATTTTCTGGCTGAATATGAAGCAATAAAACAAGTAGATGACGAAGCGCAGAAACGCTAATGACAGGAGACGAATTAACGGCTTCATCTTCTTAAAAAGGTTAGAAGCTTTGTTGCAGACGCATGCACCACAAGAAGGTAGCAACCAAATTTTGTTTGTTACTAGTGAATTCAACATGTAACGCAAGCTTTTACAATATGCAGGAGCAACGACGAGTAGATGAAGTGGTGCAGAGAAGCAATGAGTGGGGGAAACTGTGCGCATTAAGATGCAGTAAAGTGTCGAAAGGATGCTGTTTTACTTCAAAATCACACCTCAAAACAAAACATATAAATCCTTTAGAATCATCTATCTCAGAAAGATAAACTTACCATAGTAACTAAGTTAACATAAAACATACTAGATAAATATAAGAAGATAACAATATGAAGTAAGAAAGAGACCTCTCAGTTTCATAAGCTGAAGACAGCAAGCCACCGCAAAATGGTGTCCAAGGCACCTCTTTTTGCGGCTGAAACACTGCAGAGTGGAAGCCATGCAAAACCAAAAGTTCTAATAACCTCATTGTCACGAAATGAACATAAGCAACATAAATCTCTTTAGCTCACTGAACCTATTAGATCTACATAATTGCATATTCATTTGCCATAGATGTCATTCCAGATTTGCTTCAGCTCAGGTCCCACTTTAATCTCTGCAAAGGAATGTAAGCAAACCTATTAGATTGGATCTACGCTGCAAGCATAAAAAATAAAATCTCTGACGATCCAAGTAATTCAGTGTGCATGACTTACCCATTAGCATAAGGTGAATCACGACGAGAATGACGATATGGAGGTGACCTGCTGTAGCTGCGACCACGGTGAGGTGATATGCTGCGGCGCCGAGGAGATCTTCTCCCACGAGGACTATAGCTCCTGCCGCAAGATACAAAAATTTTATGAGCAAGGGAAATCGCAATTAAATTTTTTCAGTAGTCTGCATATACTTGTTTAGATGCTAAGAATTAGAAGCCAAATAAAGTTTAATTAAAATAATAAAACTTCATCAAATCCATTCAAATAAACTGATAAATACTTCTTCTCAGTATAACAAAAAACCTAGTTGGATACATAGATGCATGCAGCCCTAAATTGTTGTACCATGCATGTATTCAATAGACAGACTTATTATCCTTGCAGAAAATGTTCAAAAAATGCAAAAGATTACTGATTCCTAAATTAGTAAGTGGGGTGAATGTGCGACTCAAGTCTACATCAATACACCTTCTCCCAGTCAACTGAGAATATATTATATATAAGTATATATGTTGCATGTGCATGTGTTAATATCTTAAGTTCACTAAGTGATTATTCATAACAATAAAAGCCAGGAGAAAAAGAAAAAGTTTTTGCTTAGCATAAGAAAAGGCATGATTTTTAATGTATCATTACATATTACATGCTCCTTTATAAACCTGATTCAGTAGAAACTACCTCCTCAATAGCTCTACCACCTTCAATATAACAAATAAAAAGAACCCTTAAACACACCTGCGCCCATACCCATAACTTGGACTCCTTCGGCGACGAGGACTAGGGCTTTGGCGTCGCCCACTTCCTAGGCCTCGTGAGCCAATGCGCAAGCGGCATTCACGAGCAAAGTGACCAGGTTCGCCACATTCATAACAATTCATATCCTCACCCCCTCCACGACGCCCACCACGGCCTCCGCCACCTTTCGAATTATGAGAAAGTTCCACACGCCAACCATTCTTGCCTTCAAGGAGAAAAAGAAAGATAGTTGTTCCATAAAACCACAATAAACTGAACAACTAAAACAATAAGCTGCCAATAATTAGTAAACAATAGCAACTTGCGCAAATATCAAAGAAAATCAGTAACTAAATTAAACAGATAGGGCATATCTCCAACATACATATTAAAGCTCAACGAATTTGAAGCATATGCAGCACATAAAGTGAGGAAAACAGAAATAATAAAACAAAAACTAATTAAAATTATAAGCTTTTATACGGACATTGGAATAGAAAACCACCACATATCAAACAGGTAAAAAGAAATGCAACAAATGGATGAAATAAACACTGAGATGATCGATATTCACAGTAAAAATCAGAAGAAAAGAAATATACTAACCATCCAATTCACGGATTGCATCGAGAGCATCCCTGCGATCGTCAAACTCAATAAATGCATATCCTGGTGGCCTTCGAGCAACCCATACACTGAATTTATTTCATCAGCAACAAATCAATCAATATAATATAAACAAATATTTAACAAAAAAAAAAAAAAAACGTGTTTCAAATGGCACAAAGCAAGACTTTATCTTTTATGATATTGGCAAAAAAACTAAATAATCAATTAGTTAAAAAGCTGAAAATCTTCACAGCTACCACATAAATTCAACCCATACTTATCCAGGGGTCTATCAAAATTCATTTTTTTTTCTTCTTTCACAAAAATAAAATAAAATTACCTGCGGAGAACGCCGAAAATCCTAAACTCGTCTTCGAGATCCCTCTCAGTGACCCGAGGATCCAGATTCCCGACATAAACCCGAGACATTCTCGTAACAGCACTGCACACCTTAAATCGTAATAATATAATACAAAGACAAACAATAATCCTCAAAATTACAAAAAAAAAAGAAGAAAAATTAAAGATACTCAGTTAGTAGGCGCGTTATAGAAGGGTCATAGAAATTTTAGGGTTTTGCAGAAAATGGTCGGAGCAATAGATGTAATTAAGAGAGAATATAATTAGGGTTACCTTCAAGAAATGCCTAGGGTTATGTTGATAAAAGAAACAGATATCGAATATTTGACGAGAAAGATTAATCAATTTGGCTCTGCTGCAGCCAATCGCGAAGCCGTAAAACCCTAGAACAATAAACGACCGTGTTTCTAAATGTAAATCGGTTTTGCTTTGCTGATGTAATATTGTAGAAATAATGCAATAAGGGCCCTGGCAGGCATAGGCCTTTCTCTACGTTGGGCCTTAGGTCCATGCCTTGTCATCCTACTCCAGTTTATAAAAAATAAATAAATAAATCAAAGGAAAAATATGTTTTTTAAAAAACTAAAAGTTATAAAAAATAATAGATACATACATGCATGCATTACAATATATATAATTTATCAATACTTATATTTTTATTTATATTTATTAATAATATTAAATTTTATCTAATATAAATAAAATTTTAAAGGGCGTTTAGGCTCAGCTGGGCCTCCAACTGAGGGTTGCGGGAGTTCGCGGCCTCTACGATGCCGTAGCCTATGACACCAAGAACGACCCCCCATAGGTTGCGAAGCCCAAGAAGAACGGGCTTCGAATTCCTTATCCGCCTTTCACTGGCCACCGCCAAGTCTCGCTATTTTCCCACAGTATCCACATTTCTCTCTGATCTCTCAGTTGTTGGTTGTTAAGTACTAACCGATCTGCAGAAGGTCCAGACCAATCCCTAATTCCTAACCTAGGAGCGGCCTTTTGCTCTTTGTTGGGCCCTTAGGTTCCTTTCAAAACCAACAATTCTACCCATTCACTCAATATTAGAAGAATTTTATTGGAGAAAAAGTTGATAAAAAAGTGAGTCTAAAAGGTGATTATCAAGTAATTCAAATTTTAATTTTTGGTGAAGAAATTGTGTATAATCTTCTTAATTCCTTAAGCTAAGCAACATGTTTTGTACTCAATGCTTTGTACCAGTGATACCCATGATGCTGCTTAAGCGAAAAATATGAGCCAAGTTTCAATCTGATGAAACGTGAATGCCTCATGCGCTTAAGTTTAGAAGGCAACACAAGAGATTGTTTTTTGGCCAAAACAGGCAATAGAAGAGTTTGGTTACCATATTCTTAAAAAAAAAAAAAAAAAACCGTAAAAAATTCCAAAAGATGAACTCGGAACTGAATTTGGTTATGATCTCAACATGACGTGGAGCAAGGGCCATTTTGAACTTGGACATAGGTCGTATGACAACTCCCCATTCCGTGAAAGAAACAAATATTTGTCTTTGTTCGAATATCTCTGCAATTATCCAGCAATACCATTCCTCTCCCAAGTTCTAGTTCTACTAAGAACATCGAAAATTAATTAAAGAGGGTCGTTGATTGGCTTCATCGTCGCCAAAAGCGAACGTAGACAAAACGTTTTTCATTACTCAAAAATATGTAGTAGTAGTAAATAATAGTAGTAATTTTTTTTCTTAAAACTATTTTAGTTACTATGACCGTCTGCATTCCAATCATAATTAATCAATTCTCTGGTGCTGCATTAAGTTTAGAAAGAGACCATTGAAGAAGATTGAGCAACACCCCCATATTAACCTTATAAGAAAACAGGAGACTAAATTTTGACAATCTGAAGAAGAAGAAACACTAGACATAAAAAAGGGGTAGTATTTTTTCTGTATAAGGACTGAGTCTGAGGCTGAGGCTGAGGCTGAGGCTTTTCTTACCCTCGAAAAAAGGAAGTCTTTTTAACAAAGACGGAGGCCCTTCGAAAGTGGGTATTGAAGGGTTTTTGATAATATGAAAGAAGAAGATCGGATTGAAGATAGTAGCAGCATGAGACTGAATATGATAGGAGAAGAAGGTCGGATTGAAGATAGTAGCAGCGTTAGACTGACTGCTAGAACTTACAGTGGTGGAGGGGTGAGTCAAGTTGGGTGGATCGTAGTGAAGTGGACTCAGAGTCACCTCTTTTGTCATTGCTGCTTGATGAAAATGAGGTCAAAGAAGGGTATGGATCTTTGAGGAGGAGATTGGTTAAGAAGCCCGAGAGAGTTGATTCCTTTGATGTTGAAGCCATGGAGATTGCTGGTGCTTATGGTCACCGGCCCAAGGTAATTAATTTAATTGTCTTCATTTCGTTGAGGACTTTATACTTGTAAGATATTTGCATGATATGTTTTTTTTTTCTTTGTCTCTTCAAAGTCTCCGCGCTTTAGGTCTCATTACTATCATTAACCGACCCTTTAGGGAAATTGTTACAAAAGTTGATGCTTGGAACGACTCTATTTCTCAATTTCTTATATTGACCTTAGTTTAACATCTATCAAAATTTATTAGTTTGGCAAATGCGGTTGCATACTCGAGAGCAAGTGCTGTGATTGAAGCGCCCACAAGTTTCTCATATATTCGTTTGGCACAAGTTGTCTCTTTTATGACTTTGTATGATGGACTACAAAGTTGGGCAACTTTTTGTTGTTTTTAAGTGAGGAAACAATTTGTTAATAACCGGTATATAGAGTATATAGTGTCTTTCAATCATGTGTGGAGAGTAAATGGTACCTAAACCTTTACTCATTGAAGGAGAAAACCATTAGGGTCTCATATATTATAGCTAGGAAATTATACAAGTTGCTTTTCTTTCCGTAGTGATTTGCATTCTGTACTGAGATTGTATGAATTTTTACCATTGAAAGTGAACTAAAGACCTTATCTTGTTTTCAAAAACTCAAAAGAGTTGTTTGATCTATTTACCTAGGAATTTACTTCCAATAAGCTTCATTATATTCTCTTCCTAAATCGTAATACTTTAATTAATCAGGACCTTTCAACCTGGCGCACTCTTGCGTTGGCATTTCAAACACTTGGGGTTGTGTATGGTGACATGGGCACAAACCCTTTATATTTTTTCAGTGATGTCTTCAGCAAAGTACAAATTGAATCAGATGTGGATATCTTAGGGGCTTTATCACTGGTGATGTACACAATAGCTCTAATCCCCTTGGCAAAATACATATTTGTAGTGCTTAAAGCCAATGATAATGGGGACGGTAAGGGCTTTCATAGTAGGATTCTTATTCTCCTTACTTTTTACTGGATATTTTGAAGATCATTTCCATGTTAACACATAAATTAATGCAATTGTAGGGGAACATTTGCCCTGTATTCACCGATTTGCAGGTATGCAAAGGTCAACATGCTGCCAAATCGTCATCCAGTGGATGAACAGATATCAAGTTTTAAGCTCAAACTGCCCACTCCAGAGTTAGAAAGGGCTTTAAACATAAAAGAGACTTTGGAAACGAGATTATCCTTGAAGACCCTCCTATTGCTATTGGTTTTGATGGGAACTTCCATGGTCATAGGAGATGGTATTGTGACCCCAGAAATGTCAGGTAGATAGATGTGTACATATCTTGTGTTGAAGTTAACAAAATCAGGTTTTAAACAAATAGAAATTGAATTTCAATTTTCTTTCTTTACCATTTTTATGCATAGCTGAATGGTATTAGATGCTTTGAGCTTGATGTTGTCTTTGTTTACTTGCAGTAAAATTTGTCTCACGACTAATAAGAACTCAAGATAACTCAAGTATGCGGGCTTTTACTGATTCATATGGTTCAAGAAAATACTTCACAGCTCATGGTTGAATGACAAGATATGATATGATATGATAGATTCTAACATAGAAAAAGAAAAAGATTTGATACAGTGCATTAGTTCCATGTGACAGTTTTTGGACCTCAAAAAATTGAAGCTGCTACTAAGAGAGCAAGCTTCTGTAATATTTAACAGACCTAACTCGAAGGGTCATCCATGTAGCATGAGTATTGTAGCATTATGGATTCCTTATGGAGAATTAGTTTGCAAATCTCTACAGTTGAATAGACAAGATGAATTACTTATAATTTTTATTGGAGGATACTCAAACCTAATATGCTGAAACTGAAACTTGAATTTGATTTTAAGATAAACACCTTACACAATCTTCTCTTCAAGCAAGGTTCAATGTACCAGGTTTACATGTATTTCACTTCTACTCCACTTATGAATCTTTGTTGAAACAAATTATAAAGGTCCCAATTACATTTCTTTGATATCAAATAGAACCTCAAAGTTAAATTATATATGTTAGGCGTTCACTGTGCAATTTGCATACTGTTAGAACGTCACAGTCTTGCAGCTACTGCTTGTTATCATTGATTTTTTAATAGTGAAAGCATGGATAAGGAACTTGAACTCTTCAAGTTGCATGTTTGAGTACATGTGTCCTTGCCTAACAAAGACTCTGAACTCCAACTGTTCTGTTCTCTTATTGGTTGGCTTATAGCTGAATTGGCAAAATGCTTTCTCCTTCTCTGCTTGATTGAATTGATAGCCATTGCTTTGTGTGAGTTTTTCTATTTCTTAAAAACTGGAGTGCTCCTAATTTCACCTGCTGCTATGGCAGCAATGTGCACTATCTTGCCTGGGTTACTACTGATGTAAGATTTGATGATTTTCTGTTGCAGTTATGTCAGCTGTAAGTGGTCTTCAGGGTAAAATAAATGGCTTTGATACAAGTGGGTACTTTTCATTCTCTTTTGTTTCATATAAAATATTTATGATTCATTAACTGCCTAGATCTTCTATGAAAGAACAGAAGAGATGAAGTATTTATAGTAGATGGAGAATAGGGGCATACCTCGTAAGACAGCCATCATATGTTTCCATCATTTCTTCTCTTCCATATGAAACTTGTGTCTATTCTCATATTTATTTGAAGGAGCATCTCAAGGGAAAAAATTCTTGATGAGTGGGTTGGGGGAAATGGAGGAGCCTTGAGTTTGGTTCCAAAATCACGATTCTACTGGGCTGGCTGAATATTATATTGACCAGTAGCTATTGATTCTTCTTAAATATGCAACATTATATGATGCAGTTTTTAACTAATAAATAATTGTTCAAACTTTAACATATAAATTAATTTGGTTGTTTCAGCAATGAACTGATATCTTTTTTCTTCATCTATCTATTTGTTACAACTGTGGTGGTTGTTGTTTCAATTGTAATCTTAGTCGCGTTTTTTGGCATACAGCGGTTTGGAAGCAGTAAAGTTGGTTTCATGTTTGCTCCATGTTTGCTCCTGCACTTGCTTTGTGGTTCTCTCTGGGCTCAATAGTAATTTACAATCTAGTGAATCATGATATTTCAGT